AATCTCATCTCTATCTCCTCTTTTTATAATTGAATTTTGAAGATATTGAATTGGAGAAGAAGACTCTGTGCAATCCACCTCTTCGCACTTCTTCCGCTGCTCTCCGTTTATTTCTTCCGTTTCGTGCGCGTGGAAAGAGCACGGCTTGTCTTCTTTTTTTTCTTTTAACTTTTGTTTTCCTTTGCTTCAATTGTGACTTGATCATGTGGGTCAAATTGACTTGGCCCAATAACTCTTTGTAAATATGCATTCAATTTTGACATTTCTTCATCCTTTTGTACTCCATATCTAAAAATTTGTATCAAGGTAATAAACAATACTTCCAAAATATTTGTAGAATATAAATATGCTCAAAATTATGCATTTTATGTATAAAATGTAAACAATAGCCTAAAATGCTAAATAGAACAAAATGTGATTATTTAGGTATAAAATGCATATTAAATATCTTAAAAGTACTAAAAAATGAGGGAATAAAATATGACATTTTGTGACTTAACACCTCTAATTTTGTAGAACTTTTTGTATAGTTTAATACTATATAAATTTTATTTTGAAATTTTACTCCTATAATCAATTAAATTGAATTGAAAATAAAGTCGGTCAAGCCTCGTAACGCGTAATTGGAAGATCACACATGGACGGAGGGATTATTATTTTAGCATGTGTATAGCTTAATATCTTCATATGCAATGTTTGCACACGTTTTTTATATTTTTCATCTTAAGTTCATATGCATAATGACTTTATTTTCTGAACATCATCAGCCAACAAATATATTTACCTTTGCCTAGTTGCATATTATAGCATATTACAAAAAATTAATGGCTAAGGCACTATCTTCTCATGAAATCCCAAAAATTATCATATACTTCCTTCATCTTAAATGTTTTTATAGTTTAATTTTTAAAGATAAATTTTACACATTTTAATCATAAATTATGAAAACAAATAGTTTTAGTTATTATGTAAATTTAATATAATAAATTTTTTTTTAAATTAGATAGGTAATGGGATGATGATTTTTCACTATTCCTATGCCCATTTCCTAAATTATAGCCGAACTTGATGGAGAAAAAAATGAGTAGAGGTTTTCCTTTAAATGCGCATGGGATATTTTTGTAATTTTATAACACTATACGGCAATGTAAATAGGAGTACTCCTATTTAGGGAAAAGTGGCATCTTTTACTCTTATATATGTAAATTACTCATACTATTTCACATTTATATAATATAGAAAGATTCAATATATATTTGTATGAGTGAGGCAAGCAAATAGAAAAAGAATAAATTAAATAGTGAGGGCTGTAATGGCAAAAGTAATTACACATTTAATGTACACGAAAAACAAATAAATTACCCAGGAATTCCAAATTATTTGTCAATTTCATGGTTTAGTTCAAATATTGATCCAATAGAGCTAAATTCCAAAAATTGACTTATTTATGATAAAAAATACTGATCATATTGTACGGAGTATTATTTATAGTATTAAAATACTAATTCTATATTGAAAAACATATTCTTAAGATATAAAAATAAACGTTGCAGCTCCGTGGATCTCTTTATATTGAAACATTCAAAAAATAAAACCATCTTAAAGTACTTATATGCATCAACATCATAAATTAAAATAACCTTGACAAGAGGGGTTCCGGCTTTAGAGTACCTAAAATTTGAATTTTTTTTATGGTTCAAAAAAATGAAGCTACCGATCAAATACTTGACTTAAGAAAAAACGAGGATATGGAATTGATGGGATTAACCCGATCAGATGGCGGACCAAGAACGGAATATGAATTTAAGAAGATATAATCACTCGATAATATTCTTTGATTGTGTATTCAACTGTCGTGTGGTGACCTCCTTTACAATGGCGGATTTTCCCCCTTTTATAGTACTTCTAATATTCCAATTAAAATTATACAAAATGGAAATGGATTATGGAGATCATGGGGTTGTGATCCCCCTTCTTTCCGGTCTCGTTCTCTTCCCATTTCGCCCACAACTTGATGATGTGGGCCACGTGTCCCATTCCTCCCTTGGACTGGGTCACATTGATCTATCTCATGTTTGGGCCGTCTTCCTTTACTTGCCATATGCGAGATTACGGGCTTGGCTCGTCATCCCCATCTGATCTTATTCCTTTTGGGCTATTATGGGCCTTCATTTGGGCCTGGAGTCGGGTCTACCAGACCCGATATCCATCAGGAATAATTACTTATTAGCATAACAAAAAATTAACAAAGTCTGCATTAAAGATTGTAGCATACAAGCCTTCACAAATTACAACTAGCCCATCATGACTCTCCAAATACAAAATGCATCCCCTCCAATTCCAAAGCGATGCTTGTATTAGCTAAATGCTGGAATGTAAATGTGAGATAGTCCAAGATTATGAGTTCATCATCATATTCTTCTCACTTTTATAAATCCTTAGCTTCAAAGTTTTGTACATTCTGACAACTTCAACTTCAGCTACATTCTGACATGTTTAAATGTGCACATTTACACTTGATAAAACACACACCGAAGCATAGACAGAACAAGTATGGTTATATACGCATGTAACCAAAAGAGGAAGAAAACAAAGACAAGTAGACAACATTTGGTAAATAAGTCAACTCAGGGAAGTAAAAAATGTGAAGTATTAAACCATAAAAGAATAGTATGACGGTAAATATTGTTCCCGCAAGTTTCAGGATATCCATCCTAGAAAAATAGCAACACCACTTGATATAGCAACAACATTAAAAATCAGAGACATTGATGAGTTTGTTTAGTATGCTATGAGTAAGATTATATGAGCAGATCATATATGATTCATACCTACGAAATCTAAGCACATGTAAAATTCGAGAAGGTAGAAGATATACTCCCCCCGTCCCAAAAAGATTTACACGTTTCAATATTCACACTTTGAAAAATCTCTAAAAAATTGGAAATCAATAATATATGGAATACAGAGAAGATTATTAGGGATTTGGATTAGAGATGGATTGGGTGCACCTCGTCGGAAATAGACAGCGGCAGTGGCTGGGAACTTGATAGGTGAGCGTCGAGATAGCGACCTAGAGCTCTGGTCGGAGTCTGTAACTCTGTGGACCTAGTGTTTTGGTTATAACAGGGAAAGAAATTGAAGGGATTAGCTACCCAAGGCTGGAAGCAACTACTCCAGGGACTTGGAGTTCTGGCGAGAATAAGCGAAAAGGTTGAGGGATTAGAGCTATGCATTAAAGATTTTTGGGGAGAAATGAAAGTTGTTGAAGATCAAGAATTCTTAAGCTGTGTGATTTTTTTTAGGGTATACAACTACTAGGCTATATGCCGTAAGAAAGCAACGGAGGTTATTGTCAAAGAGGACAGACAGATAAAGGAAAATTTTGACATGTACAACGTTGTCTAAAGCATAAAAGTACAAATACTCCGTATGTTGGATTGGATGGAAAAAGTGCATCTTTACCCACGGGTGCCAAACCCTCTCTCTCATCTATATACTCCCTCCATCCACCTAAGATCTTTCCATTGCACGTTACGAACTGAGGCTTGACCGACTTTATTTTCAATTTGATTTATTTGAATATAGGGGTAAAATTTTAATGTAAAATATATATATAGTAATAAACTATATGAAAAGTTCTACAAAACTAGAGGTGACAAGACTACATTATTTTGTAAAATGAGTAGTAAAAATGAGTAAACAAAGTGAATTAAGTTTGACCATGTGAATAGTGTCTGAGAAGATCTATGGTGGACAGAGTGAGTATTATAGAAAGATTTGTCAATTGGTCTTCTAGAATTGTGACATCTGGCGTACTTATTAGGCAATTTTTTTGACATGTTAGCACGCAATTTCAGCAAGTAATATTTAAACAATTAGTTGACAAAAAAACTTATTCTATGGAAATTAAATTTCATATTTGTTACACAATGACTAGAGATCGCAAGATACTCCATCCGTCCTAAAATTAACTTCCTTATTTGATTTTTCGGGGTATCTAATACTCCCTCTGTCCCTTAATAATGTTCCGTTTTTGACTTTTGGAGGAATTAAGGGAGGGATATTTTTGTGTTGACTCTCCAAAAATACCCTTGATGTGATGTGTAAAAGTAAGATGTGATAAGTAGATTATTAGTAAAAAAGTATGATGTGATAGGTAGGGTATGAAAAAGTAAGGGGTAAAAGAGGTTTTTTAGGGGAAAAGAGAAGTTTATTTAGGGACAAAGAAAAAACGAAAGAGGAACTTTATTTAGGGACGGAGGGAGTACAACACTTTGACCATTAATATCTCAATTTACATACAAATATATATTTTCAATACTATGTTTCAGAATGAAAGTGTAAAAATAACATTTTCTTGTACAATGTTTTTCTCTTTTTTTTCATCTTCCCATCCAAACAAACTAAAAGAAATTACTCCATCCGTCTCTGAAATCTTTCTTATTTTGTCTTCCTTTGGTGACACTCTTTGATTATAAATTGTGTAAAAAATATATTAAATTATAATATAAATTTAAAATAGTTAAGGTCATATTAGGATATAGTTTTGATGCATTGATACGGATAGTTAATTAGAATATTTTAATTAGTTATTATTATTTAGTAGTTATTTATTATTATTTATTAATATTCTATAGTTTAGGGTTTTAGTATGGGCCCGAGCCCATTAGGTCAATTAGGGTTTTCTGCGTCTTTATATATTGTAATCGTTCGTTATTATTATTCAATCAATCAATAATCAAGAATTCTCTTAATCACTCATCTCTTTGTTCTTGGAGCCCGGAAACGCTCGAAGTTTTCCTCTCTCTTTGTCTCCCCTTTCTTGGAGCCCGAAGACACTTGACTCCAAATCAGACCAATCACCA